GGGAACTCACCTGCCAAGTTCAAGGAGCACCGAGGTCAGCAGAGTCGTCTGAACTGAGCAAATGGGAGAGGCGCCAAACCAGGGCAGTGAGGGCAGGTCTTCTCCAGCTCTGTGGTCACTGCGGGGACCTGGACTTCTACCGAGCTGTGGTATGGCAGTGAGGCAACACCATTTATGTTTTTAAAAAATTACTCAGAGTGAGATTGGGGGGCAGAAAAATGGAGAGAGAAGAGGGGATTGGGGGAGGCAACACGATTCAAGGATTGTGAAAAGGCTGTGAACAAACCTGATACCTGGCTAAGTAATTAAAAACAAAATTACTTAAAACTCCCTTGAGCTGTTCCATTGAAAATTAAGTTGGGCAGGGCTTTTCCTGCTCTCACCACCAAGGGAACAGTTCTTCATGTCAAAAGATTCTGTAGGAACAACCAGCATAGAAAAGAATAAACACAGTTATCACCAATAGACCATCAAAACAAAAAGATTATAAAGGTACTCACAGTTGGGTGTGGGTGCACACACCTTTAATCCCAGCACCAGAGAGTCAGAGGCAGGCAGACCTCTGAGTTTGAGGCCAGCTTGGTCTACAGATCGAGTTCCAGGATAGCCAGGGCTACATAGGGAAACCATCTCAAAAAAAGAAAAAATGAAAGAAAAGAAAGAAAATTGTCTCTAAGAGAGCTAGACAGGCAGCAGCAAAAGGAAGGCCATGGCTGCACTCCCCCTGAGAAACGGCTTCAGGCGCAGAGGCAGAGCTAAAGATGTGGAGCAGTGGTTAGGTTCTGGAAACAAGGAGAAGTACAGACGAGGCATGAAAGAAAAGACAAAACTTCAGGATGACAACTAGAATTTTACCTCGAGCCATAGAGTGAATGGGATGCCTTTGATATCAGGGAGACAATGAATGGGAGGAGCAATGAAAAGTTTGATGATGAGTTTTCTGTCAAGTTGACTACCTGGTGGGCTACCTAAATAACTGGTCAAACATTCTGAGTGTTTTGGTGGAGGTGATTTGGAGTGAGATTAACATGTACATGGGTAGACATTGAATAAAGCTGACAACCCTCCATGTGGGGTGCCTCAATTACCTGCCTTCTGACTTCACTGACAACACTGGATCTCTCTGGCCTTGAGACTGTAATCATGTCAGGTTCCTTGGGTCCCCAGTTTATCGGCCTGCTCTCCAGATTTTTGGATGTGCTAATCCCCATGATAATACAAGTCATTTCCCTATAATAAATTTCTCACACACCCTTATCCCTCTATTTCTTTCATATTTCATATTTAATGAGCCAGCAAAGCCTTTGCCTTTACATGCATGCACACATCCTGTTGGATCTTTGTCTGTTTCTCTGGAAAACCCTAATACAGGAAGGGTGGGGGGGGGGGTCAAAAATTAATCCTGGACTCCCAGATGGAGAGCACATGTGGGCGGTTCTTCTGTTTCACAAACCTCCTGCAGCACTTACTATAAAATCAGACATTGCTCTAAATACTTGACAAATATCTAATTTAATCTCTACAGCAATCCCGGATTGATGAACTCCGGGCAAGAAGCAAATGGCATACTCTAACTAAGTAATTAAGTCTAATTTAATAGAGGGACTCTTTCTAAAAGTGACTATGATTAAAGGAATCCAACAAGGTACCCAAGCTTCCCACCCTCCCCCCCCCCCCCCCACGGCTCACTAACAGAGCCGTCAAAAGGGAATGAAGAGAAAGCAGATTCTAGAACCAAGAGAGATTGTTGCAGAATAGCAGCCTGGGGCATGTGACCCCAGTAGAGGGAGGCAGCCCCTGACAACCTGGAGTCTGGTGTAGAGTGAGCTGAGAGAGTTAATTACTGGATCGGCACATCTTGGCTCCATGCTACTTCCTGGTGATGGCGTTTATTAATTAAGCTGCCAGAAGCCAGAGCGTAAGACAACCAGCTCTGATGTGGAGCACAAAGTCCATTTTCCTGGAGCAGCTGAGGCAGTGAAAAGCAGACCTGCCCGTGAGAGCGGAACAGTTACCACAAACACTGTGAGACAGATGCTAGCGTTGTGCCCACTTTCCAGATGAGGAAATGGAGGTAGAGAGAGGTTACTATACATATCAGTAGTTCTGGAGTGGGGTCTAAGCTAACAGATGAACTTGGGACTTACCAACACATTGATGGTATTTAAAGTCATGGGTCTGGATAGGGTCACTTTGGGAGTATTAGTTGTCATGTGAGTTTTCCAGCAGAGATGAGAACAAATGTCTACTCACTACTCCCTAGACTCAAGAAAGGATTCCACCAAAGTCTAACTTAGAGAAACAATGAATTTATTGGGTTACTCACAGGAGCGTGGGCAATTCAAAGGCAGCCTTCTCACCGAAAAACCCACCAGCATAGGCACCAGCTCACAAAAGCTGCATTCCTGCAGCTTAACCTGCAGGCAGATCAACAGGCCAGGAAAGTCTTCTTGCCCTGGTAGTCTTTTCTACTCATATAACCAGGAGTTAGAGGGATCTTAGGAATCTTAAAGATTTCAGGAACTTCCTGAGACTTGGGAGTTGTTTGTTGGCTGAGTCTTAAAGGACCCACCCTCCAAGATGGAAAGTTTCTAAATGGAGAAAAATCTCTGTATAACACTGTTGGACAGAGAAGAGGGCCCAGGACTGAGCTCTAGGAGACTGAAGTGTTCACACATCAAAAGACAGGATTAAGCAAAGGAAGAGAAAGTGGTGAGAGGGTGAGAAAAGCAGAGTTCCCCAGAGAAAGGAGGAAACCAAGCCCCAGGGAGGAGTTATTGAGAGAATGAGTAAAGCAGGGACTTAAGAAATGACTTGAGATTTGATCATGTCAACACTGCTGTTGAACTCCACAAAGGAAGTCTTGGAAGAGTGTGAGGAGAAAGAAGCTTGGCTGTATGTAGAAGGTGCAGGAGAAAATTCACTAGCGATCTAGCCTCCAACAGCTCCCAGCTGCACGCTGCTGACCTTTTCAACGCTGTAACACTCCATGCTTTCTGCATGTAGATGCTTACAGTGTCCATAAATTTAGATATGGAAAGATTAGTGTTATTGTTCACCCATCAAATTAAACTTTTCTCAAGAACTGACTTCATGGACTCTTCAGTCCCATCGCACATTGTTTGAAGTCCCTCTACCCATTGACTCTGGAATGTGTTGGAGTACACTGAACCACAGAGCTGGTTATCAGCATCCCCTAAATGTGAGGGGATAAAGTAACCCAACTCCAGAGACAGGACACAGGGGTTAACAGTATGATACACTTTATAACCACAAATAAAAACTTCCTGCAATAAGCACATGGATCTGACTTCAGTCTGCTTATGTGTTAGTTAATATTTAATATCCATCCCTGGCCTGATCACAATTTGGGGGAACTAAGAATAGGATTGCTAAGCAATCAGTTTGTTAATGATGCTGCCTTATAGAGTGGGCCAGTCTGTGTAATGTCAACGGGTTTGACATTAGTCAACCTATGATGTAACGGTATAAAGCTGTGGGCAGATCTCAAAACATTTCCACACAGAAATGTCACATATTCATTTGACCTATCAAAAACTAATTAAGAATCTCCTATTATAAGACCATATCTAGTCAGAGAAGCATAGGGTCTTTGAGAAACCCATCCACTTTATTATCTAATGAGTGTCCTACCTTCAACAGATTTTAAATTGGGCTACTGACTTCCACCCTCAGAAGCCCATCCTCTATCTCTTATTTACAATATTAATGGCAATGTCATCCTGTAGTTGCCCTCAGAGAAGCCTTAGAAATCACACACCGTTCTATTTCTTTCATGCTTCATGTCCACTGTGCCATTGTCTTGAACTTGGAATATACAGGGAATCGAGCCACAGACTCTTCTGGACTGTTACCGTCTCCTCTGGTCTGGATTCCGTCAGTAGTTTCCTATCAGGGATCCCACTGCAGCCCGTGTATCGGCAGTCTCTGCCAACCAGCAGTGGCTTCCTTGACTGCTCTTTAGAGAGGACCCTGTGTCTGCAGGGCCATAGTCTGTCTCCAAGGAATAAACTTGGGGAGGAGGTCCATGGCCCCGGAAGTGGGGATTTTCTGATCGTAGCCTAGAAGTGACGACATAGATTCCACCCTTAAAGAAGGCAAGAAGGACCTTCTAAAGCTTGAAGCCCAGCACCAGGCTCCACTTGGCATAGCCTATTCATTTCCTATTGCTGATGTAGCCAATCATATCAAACTTGGTAATGTGCATAAAACAGCACACATTTTTATAGAGATCAAAACTAGAAGCTGGAACTCAACTTCCCGGGATCAGAAATCGGGATGGCAGCGAGCTTTGCTCCCACTGGTAACTCTGCAGGAAGAACGCTCCCTAGCTTTTTCTAATGTTTGGGGCAGCATTCCTCGGCTCACCGCTCCTCCCTTACAGTGGCCACACTGCCTCCCCCCTCTGCAGTTAACCCTCCTGTGTGTTTGTCTTATGAAGACACTTGTGATTACAGAAGTCCTGGCTAGGAAACCGCCAACAGTGTTTCCATCCAAGGGTCACTTCTGCAAAGCCTTTGCCATCTGAGTAACAGACAGAACCTTTGAGAGCGGCCGGCGCCAAGAAGGTTACAGTCTGAGACGCAGAAACATGGAAGTCAGCCGAAGAAGAGCCACCGAGGAGAGAGGCGCAGCTGGGAGCTTGGAGAGAGGTTGAAGGAGCACGTGCTGAAGGGAGGTCAGACCGCTGAGAAAACAAGTGAGCCAAGGGCGTGGGGGGCGGTGTTAAGTTAAAAAGATGGTGTTCACAGGTGAACTGAGTGAGAGCAGCTTTAAGGGACAGCAAGACAGGGCGTGAGACTGGGTGCAGCGAGGAGGAGGGACACGCTAAGTTCTTCCGCTGAATTTAGTTCTCCGTCTCTCTGTCTCTGTCTCTCTGTCTGTCTGTTGTGGGGATATAGTGTGTCCCCCATATAGTGTGTCTCTGTCTCCCTCCCCCCTCCCCTTCCCCCCCCCCCCCTCTCTCTGAAAGCCAAGAATCGAACACATTGTTCTCCTGAGGAGGCAGCACTCTACTGAAAAGGACAAGGCAGCAGGAGAGATGCTTGATAGACAAGGCTTGATGAGGAAGGATGGGCTCCGGCTCCTCCGAGACAGAGCGCAGGGAGTCGGTGGGGACACAGCTCCTCTGTTCTGCCGGGGAGGCAAGGCGGGAATAATTGGTGCTGAGAGCTCTAAGTTTATAGGCGGTGGGAGGAAGTTCACAGAGTTCCTGCCTGACAACCTCCATTTGTCTGAAGGAGGAGTGCCAGTTAAGAGATGATCACAAAAGGTCTCAAGAACCTGAGCGGATGAGTTTGGGAACAGAGCGGGGAACTCGGGTGATGCTGTCATCACTTGATCCAAGTTTAAGATCATAGCAGGTGTTGCGAGGATGGAGAGCAAGCACCATCCTCAGACACCGCTGATGGGGATGCAGAAGGGGACCAACACTTTGGGCAATGATCGGGTGGTTTCTTAAGAGGTGAGGTAGTCTCACACCACACAATCAAATTGTTCTGCTGATCTTTGTTGTAGAGAAATAAAGGAGTGCGTCCATATAAAGACATTCATGCGAATGTTCACAATGGCTGGGTTTGTAAGAGTAAAGAATTGGAAATTACTCAACTATGCATCAACAAGTGAGTAATAAACTGTGGTCCGTCTGTCTGACTGGATACTACTCGGAAGTGGAAGGCAATGAATTGGTGATCTAGGCAGGGTGTGGAATGAGTCTCCAAATACTTATACTGAGGGAAAGAAGCCAGACAGGAAGAGAGTAAAAAGGCTATAACTCTTCACATGCAGAATTCTTGACAATGGATGCAACAGAAATCATGTTATGTTTGGGATGGGGGTGCAGCCATACAAAAATGTGGAGGAGACTGAAAGAGGCTCAGGGGAATTTGGGGATGTTGGATATTGTCATTATCATATTTATGGTTGTTTCACTGGTGCAGATTGTGCCTTTGATGGTGGCACATGGCTGTAATCCCTCTAACGCCTGTATTTATGGGGAATACTAGGATTGCAAGTTCAAGGTCATCCTTGGATATAAAGCAGGTTCAAGGGCACTGTTAATTGCACAGTGAATCCGTCATTCACAAATCAGGGGCTTAGGCTGAAACTCAGAGGCAGAGCATTTACTTAATATATGCAATGCCCTGGCTTCGATCTGTAGCATTGCATAAAAATATAAACAAATCCATTCATTTCTGCATCAATTGCAGCTCAGTAAATCCATGCTAGAGTACTAAAAGTCAACAAAAGAACCATAGTACAATAGTATATGCATGATAAAGTTTATTAGTCAGATGTGGTCCAGTCTCCTCAAATACATCCACCTGCTGGCCACTAAAGGGGTCACGTGCATCAGAAGATGAAGAGGGAGCTTATGTTGTTCTAAGGGCCTTGTAGGGTGTAAGGGTCTTGTAGGGAGCATATGGATTGATAAGCGTAATTTAAGCTGCAGTAACAAACAGTCCACAACTCTAGTGCCTCATGCAATGCGGATTTCTAGTTTCTACAGTACTTTTTGCAATGTCTGGACACCTTTGATTACTGCACAGCAACGTAACTGTTCACTTCCTGGGTCCGCCCTCACCTTGAGGCCTTCTCTACAAACCACCAGGGCAAGAAAGGAGCTCTAGAGGGTGTCGCCCAGTGACTAAACGCTTTGGCCATAATTTGCACTTCCATTCTCAGCCAGAGTGTAGAACTAGTCACACACACACACACACACACACACACACACACACACACACACACACACACAACACCTGACTACTAGGGTAATAGTTAGGGTCTCAGAAAGAAAGGAATTGGAAGTGGAGGGTCTGATGTTTGAGCACACCATTTTTGCCTTCCCTAAATGAACATCAAGGTGCAGAGAGAGAGGAAAGTCTGGAGACCCAAACTCAAAGTTTCAAATATTATTTGAGACTAAACAGGCTCTTGTAATACCTTAATAAAACTTATGTGATGTGACTGTTTAGTCAGTTAAACAGTGCAAAAATGTAGGAAGAGTTCAAAAGAGGAGTCTGGTTTTCTAACTTTCGTCAACCATAGTCCCTCATCATGGAGTGGCTGGGGGACTGGGGAGTTTGGCATAAACACCTGCCCACAAGCAGCCCTCAGCCAGTGTGTGGCTAGGGTTGTGTGGCTATACTGAGTGAGGAGGGCTCTGATAGCCGATACTGATCAGAGGCTCTGGCAATATGTGAGTTCTATCATGAAGAACATCAAATCCCTTAGGGGTAGAGGAAGGGTCGGGTCAAGTCGCCATTAAAGACTGTTGGGGGAGGAAGGGAGTCTGCCATGACAGTGACCTGTGGCTTCAGCTTATAACTAGTGTAGAGCACACTTGGAAGCTGAGTGAAGCCATTTGAATGGTGTGTGTGTGTGTATGTGTGTGTGTGTGTGTGTGTGTGTGTGTGTGTGTGTGTGTGTGTGTTGTGTGTGTGTGTGAGTGTATGGGGTGTGTGTGTGCTGTGTGTGTGATGTGTGAGTGTGTAGGGTGTGTGTGTGCTGTGTGTGTGTTTTGTGTGTGTGTGTGTGTGTGTGGTGTGGTGTGTGAGTGTGTAGGGTATATGTGTGGTGTGTGTGTGTGGTTTGTGTATGTGGGTGTGTGTGGTGTGGGTGTGAATGAGTGTGAGTGTGTGTATGTACGTGTGGTGTGGATATGGGTGTGAATGAGTGTGTGTGTATGTGTATGTGGTGTGGGGGGTGTGGGGGTGAATGAGTGTGTATATGTGTGAGGGTGTGGGGGTGAATGAGTATATGTGTTTGTGTGGTGTGGGTGTGGGTATGGGTATGAATGAGTGTGTGTGAGTGTGTGGTCTGTGGGGGTGTGGGGGTGAATGAGTGTGTGTGAGTGAGTGTGTGTGTATGTGTGTGTGGTGTGTAGGGGTGAATGAGTATGTGTGTGTGTGTGTGTGTGTGTTGTGTGTGATATGTGTGAGTGTATGGGGTGTGTGTGTGTGTGTGTGTTGTGTGTGTGTGTGTGTGTGTGTGAGTGTATGGGGTGTGTGTGTGTGTGTGTTGTGTGTGATATGTGTGAGTGTATGGGGTGTGTGTGTGTGTGTGTGTGAGTGTATGGGGTGTGTGTGTGTGTGTGTGTGATGTGTGAGTGTGTAGGGTGTGTGTGTGTGTGTGTGATGTGTGAGTGTGTAGGGTGTGTGTGTGTGATGTGTGAGTGTGTAGGGTGTGTGTGTGTGTGTGTGATGTGTGAGTGAGTGTGTGTGTGGTGTGTGTGTGTTGTGTGTGTGTGTGTGAGTATATGGGGTGTGTGTGTGTGCTGTGTGTGTGTTTTGTGTGTGTGTGTGTGTGTGATATGTGTGTGTGTGTGTTTTGTGTGTGTGATGTGTGTGTGTGTGTGTGTGTGTGTGTGTGTGTGTGTGTGTGTGTGTGATATGTGTGTGTGTGTGTGAGTGTGTTGTGTGTGTGAGTGTGTGTGTGTGTGTGTGTAGGGTGTGTGTGTGAGTGTGTGTGTAGGGTGTGTGTGTGTTTTGTGTGTGTGTGTGTGTGTGTGTGTGTGGGTGTGAGATCAGAGGACAACCTCAGTTGTCATCTCCCAGGCTCCACTGTATTTTAAGACAAGTCTCTCACTGACTTGAGGTTGACAAGGCCAGTATGGTGCTCCCACGCCCAGCTGTTGGAGATGTTTTTAAATGTGTTCACCCTTCCTAATGCTGGGACCCTTTAATCCAGTTCCTCATGTGGTGGTGACCCCCCCCCCCACCGTACAGTTATTTTCATTGCTGTTTCATAACTATAATTTTGCTGCTGTTATGAATTGTAGTGTTACGTATTTTGAGAGACAGAGGTTTGCCAAAGGAGTCATGACCACTGTCCTCGGGTTTGAACTTGGTCCTCACGCTCGCAAGGTAAGTCACCTGCCCAGTCCTCGAACTGCTCTTTTTCTAAAGCCACGAAGGTTTAAAGAATTCCAATCCAGAACTCAACTCTCTTCAGCCAGGTCAAGCCAGGGCAAAGGCTGCTGTAAGAACTGAATGGGCTGGCAGAGCCGGAACGGGGCTCGGCCCAAGGCAGCGCCGCATCTGCCTTTGCTGCTCCTGTGATACAGCTGATCGCAAGCAGTCGGTACAACGGCAGCATTTCACAGAGTCTGGGTGTTATAGCTTGAGGCCCGTTCTGATCGTCAGGTGCCCTCCATTGTACTCCAGGTATTCCTCATGGGTTACCTCTTTTCAGTAGCTTGCAAATCTCAAATTTTGCCACTTTAATGCTTTAGTTGCTGCTTTGAAAATAATTTTATAATAATCTTTTAAAATTATTACATTTTTCATTTATCACATGGGGGGGTGCCATAGTGCATATGTGGAGGCCAGAGAACAGATTCTGAAAGTTGGTTTTCCACTTCTACCATGTGCGTCTTGGGGTTTAAACCCAAGTCACCATACTTAGCAGCAGGTGTCTTTACTTCCAGAGCCATCTTGCGGGTCCCACACCATGACAGTTTTTAATACTGAGCTAAGCTGTATCTCTGAAACAGCAATTCAAATCAATATTGTATCCATTTTCCCAACAAATTGAAACTGGGGTATACATACTGCTGTAAACCACTTGTCATGAAATTTTCCAATAAACTGTGTACACCTAGGGATAGCATTCACATCTCTGCTCCCCTAAACCAGATCCTTTGGATAGTAAACTAAACAAAACCAGCCAGCAAACACACACACATTTCCATCTCTGTTTTTCTATCATGAACACAGAGATAGACAGACAGACAGACAGACACACACACACACACACACACACACACAAATGCATGCACACAAACCATACACAGAGGTCATGTACCTGGGAGCCCCTGCTACTTACCAAATCCCACTCCCTAGGATATCCTACACACCTAGTTTATTCAAGGGTGCTCTGAAAAAAAACAAACAAAGCGGTTACTCCCAAAAGAAATGCAGTTATGAGAGAGAAATTGTTTAGGACAAACTCCATAGGTATGCAGGGCCAGTCTAACATTCTCAGCCTGGGCTCTGGCTATGTGAGCATTTTTGAATGCCAGCTTCAAGACGAAAGGAAGGGGCAAGAAGGAGCCATGACCAGTAACAGAATGCTGTGTGTTCAGTCACTCATCAGCCCTTGCTGTAGGGTTCGGGGGCGGGGGGGGGGGGGGTCCGTACATTACAGACTGAATGTGAGGTGACAGCCATCCCTCTCTTACCCCACCACTGTGTACTAAGTTACGTCACCGTGTATCCAAAGCCAACAATGATCACAGCCCCTTGGGTATTACTGTAATATTGGCGGATGCTCTGTGTTAAAAGGATAATGGCTCCCTTAATTTTTTAAATTACCGTTATTAATAGAACACACAGTAACAGCGTGAGACGGTATTCTTTCTCTTACTGGAAGGGTGTTAAATGCCTGTTTGGTAAATACTGCACACACAAAGGTAATTATGAAAACCGTGGCAGAATCAACAACAGTGAAAGGATCATTTGTTTCAGTCCATTTCAACAGATCTCATTTTTCACTGCTGTGGACGCACATCCACTTTATTACTGAAACAGCTGACGGCTGATAATGTTATCTTTTGTTGCTGAGGCATTTAATCCCTGTGTGACAGATGTCACTGGACGGGCTGGTACCGAGCTAGCAGAACTTTGCATATCATGCAGCGTGCACGTGATAGCCACCCTGCCTGGGCTTGCAAACTGAACTCAACTCTGTGACTGTGTGGGACCCTATTCCTTTCCATATAGATGCCACTTTCCCTGTCCAGGAAGCTAGCTACATCTGCTGGGGGTTGGGACCCTAGTGACAGAGGTAGAGCTAAAAGGACTTTAGAAGCCATCTTGTAGAGTTTCCTTGGGTGTCAGCGATTCGGGGTTTCACAGAAAAGCCAGTGAGTAGTCTTACTCAAGATGGCATAGCTTGTGGCTAGCTGTTGAGTGTGGGGAACCAAAGGGAATGCCAGTCAGGCTTTGCCCTACTTACCAAGTTCAGGAGCCAGGAATTTGGCCCAGGTGACTGCGTCTCTTCAGTGCCTGCGGAATTGTCTTAAACAACAAGACCATGCAGCAGCTGGCCACCTCAGGACCTTCAGGTAAAGCTTTTAAGCTCAAAAGCCAAGCGTTTTCTGCCTCTCCCTACTGAGTTTAGTGTAGACGAATGAGTAAGTAAAAGACAACAAAACCCTCTCATTCTATTGAGAACATTAGAAAAAATACATACGTGAGGGTATATGCATCAACTATCTGAAGTGGAGAGGACTTTCTGAGCTTCAAAACAGTGAACAGAGTCACACAGTGTGTAAGAAATGCAGGTCTAGCCAAACCCATGATAAATAAATTTAAAGACGAAGAGCAAAGTATATCAAATACAGTTCATATATTTAAATACATTAATAAAATGTAACATAGTTTTGCATATAAGCTTTTTACAGATTGAGAAAATATTAACTCAATAGGAAAATCGACAAAAATGTAACAGAGATTTCATCAAAGAAAATGTCAGCTCTGCTGGATGCAGACACTTACACTGTCTTATCCTCATGGGAGGAGGCTTTTACCGATTACTTTAATCAAAGCTTGCTTTTCTCCTGTTCAAATCCCTGATCCTTGACATTAGAGAAAGTTCTGAGAATCATGTTGGGTAAACACAGAGCATTTCAGCAAGGCTCTGGGTCATATTCAACATGAAGCATCAGAGCAAGCAAGGAAGAAGGGCCGTTCAGCTACAGCTTTTCACCTCTACCCTGCTCCCCCATTCCACACAGGACAAGGGGAACCAGAGTCATGGGCAGGTCCCTCAACTGTTTATGGTAGCACCCACACACACCACTCTAATGTACAACCCTGTTCTTTAAAATGATCACAGCTATCTTTGCACTGAGGAGGTTCACCAGGACCAAGACTCTCAACATTCAGACCCACCTGAAGCTTTCTAAGAAGATGTTACAGCAAATCCCTTGTAGATAAGGAAGGACGTGATTTCTGTTAGCCGGTGATTGATACCCTAGGGAATCATGCTTGCCCTTCAAGGACTGTGTGACTTCAGGTGAGGCCGGTAGGCAAGTCCTCTCTCTCATCAGCTCAAACATCAGCAAAATGAGAAGTTTGGGCTGAGATGAGCTGAGAGTTTTCTTTTTACTCCCTTCTTCTAAGCAGATGATGGTCCAATATCCTATCCATGATGGGGTGGTACAAGAGATGCTGTGTTATCCAGCGCTGGCTTCCTCCTCAGGATCTCAGATGTCCTTTGCGCCAACATCTCAGGAGGAGGCCCATCATTTCCAGAGTCTGTTTCGTCTTCTGGCTTTGGTGGAGGCAGAGATGCTCTGAGGTGTGGTGAATTCCACGCTCTTGACGGTTTTCTTCTTCCCTGTCTCCTACCACAAGGAAGCAAGGGCAGAGAGAAGTAATCTGCTCTTGCCAGCAACTCTGTCCACGTACGCAACAGCTCCACGTGGTCCCTAGAATAAGCCAAATACCTTAGCATGGCCAGACACTTACGATCTGACCCTGCCAACCTCTTCAGCTGTCTCCTCTGTCTCACCATGCCAGGTGACCCACATTGAATGCACTACCTTTCATCCACCTGCACGGCTTTGTGTGCGTTCAGTTTCACCTGCTGCCTCATCATTTTTTTCTTCAATTCCTCCACTCTTCCCAATAGGTGCCTCATCAAGGTCTCATCTCCTACCTTCCTCCCTCATACTTGGGGTTCAGCTCCCCTATCCCCTACCCTAGATCAGGTTAGGTCTCTGTGAAGTGTTCCTCTAAGTGCCCTGAGCATCCTCGTCATTTATGATCATCATTTCTCTAATTTTTTTTCTCCTTGATAGACTGTTCACTTTAAGGGACCCTGTCTGCCTTGTTACCACTACATCTGAAAGGTTTTAACAAGCCTTATATATAAAAAGTATCCAAGATGCACATGTCAAATGAGAACTAAAGATCCCACCTCCACCCAAATCCTACCCTGCCTTATGCTGCTCCCCACCACCCAGTATGACTAAATTACATCCCTCTAATGAAAGTCTGGATTAGCAGGGCCAGGGAGAGTGAAGAAACCCATCAGAAAGCCTGAGAAACCCACCAATACTGCAGGTTCTACTAGTTGAACAGATAGAGACCAGAGACCTAGCAAGATGCCCGGGAAACTGTCTACATGAAGGACCCACCACAGCCACACTCCTTCTATCTTCAAAGCAGCTTCCATGGCTGCAGAAAAATTATTTTTCCTATTGGAATGAACTAAGAGGCACCACATTGATTTTTAAAATGGTACTGTAATTTGGAATTCAATTAGCTTTGCCTAAAACAAAAAAGGAATATGTCTCTATCCAAATGGTAGTGATTTAAAATATTGTTTTGACCAAAGAGTATCACCCATGACAGGGGAAGTCATCTTATCCCTTTCTGCTCTCATGTCCACCAAGCTAAGCAGTGAGCAATTGCATACTAATGGTCACCCCAGTGAATTTTTGTGCAGCATTAATTAGTTGCCTCTCTGTCTCTTCATGGATGTTTGCATTATAGTATCCTGTCCTCCTCTCCCAGAAGTTGGTCACAAACCCAGGCTGGTCCAACAAGATATTCTCCCTCAAGACCCCAGCCTTGAGTACCATGGCCACACTGTGGAAACTGCAGGTATTCACTCCAGGAAACAGGGTCAAGAGAAAAGGGTTGGGTCCATGCTGCCTTCATGCCCAGACCCATCATGGTTCCCCTGCTCACAGCCCCCTAAAGTGCCCTCATCTCCCTAGTCATTATGCAAATTTTCGACATTCCTCCTGTAGAGAAGCTTCATGAATAAGGTAGACAAATGGTTCCTGTGGCTTGCATAGAATCACGGCACAGCCTCAGACTCATATGTGAAGATGTTTTGAAGTCCCGTGCTGCCTCTTCAGTCATTGCGCATTGTGAAATTTAAAATGAAAGTCACAAAACCAGGCTTGGAATGTAGCTCAGTGGCAAAGTGCCTGCCAATGTTCGTAGAGTACTGTGTTCCATCCTGACGTACAGAGAGAGAGAGACAGACAAACAGACAGACACAGAGACACAGAGACAGAATTATGTTGATATTTTATTTGTGCTGAAATGTGATTTTATTTGTATGTTAATAAATAAAGTTGCCTGGGGGTCAGAGCTAAGAGCAAGCCATTTAGCAGAAGTCTGGCAATGGTAGCACACGCCCTTAATCCGATCACATGGCAAGCAGAGTCTGTGTGTTCAAGGACATAGCCAGCTTGGAGACACACGCCTTTAATCTCAATACCAACCATGGAGACCTGGAGGTCTGTATAGACAGGCAGTGATGAGGAGATCATGTTGTTGGGTTTACAACAAATGCGAAGGCAGAACAGAAAGTCAATAAAAGTACAGACACACAGGAAGTAGGTCTCTTTCTCAGGGGAAGGACGGCAGTGGCAGGGGTGGTAAGAAGGTGGTCTCAGCTCTTGGCTACTGCTCTCTGATCTCTGGGGCTTTTAACTCTGCATTTGGCTCTGTGTTTCTCATTTAATAAGACTGTTCAGAATTACATCTACACAGAATGAAGAAAGATAGATGCAAACCTATCTAGACAGGAATAGAATGCAGCAGACCAAATGACTACTTGTAAAAGGCAAAAGAACAAAAAACAAAACAAACAAACAAAAAACTGCAAGAAAAGACAACAAACCCTGACTCTTAAAGACAGATTTATGCTTTATTTTTCCTAATTTTCTCTATATTCAAAATCACTTGTGACACAGCACATTAATAACAGAAAGAAAAACTTGTAGTGAGGAGAGTATAAATCAAGGGAAGGAAATCTTGCCTTAGTATTAAGACAATACAGAACCATGACCTACTTCCAATAGTCACAAATGCAGTCCTGGCCTCTTTGTTCCAAATTTCTAGTTCAATTTCCTGCCAGGGTTCTTAATGCACAGTAGCAAGGTCAGCTCTTAATCAGCTCTTAATCACCGTAGCGCGGAGCTGCCATGGCGTGGGATCTGGCAATCATCTCTCCGTGAGAGCGACCACTCTGCTGCATATTTCAGGATGAAGGATGACTCACTCCAATACAGGCTTGCTGGCGGGGAGGGACAGAAAGTCCAGCAGTAAACAGTGGAAGCCATGTCCACGGGAGCTCGCTGGAGTGAAAGGCCAGCTTTTATCCACAGAGGGTTTTTTAAGCTTAAGAAGAACATTTCCTTCTTTTAGATTGATTCATGCTAAATTAAGAATTCATTTGGCAATTGAAAAAGACAAAGAAAGCTTGTGTCTCCTGTTGTGCCTAAGAGCAAACAGGATAATGGTTTAGGGAAGAGCTGTGCCATCCGACTTTCGTGTTTAATTCATTCTAATGTGCATGAAGCAGGAGGTCACAAAAACCTTCCTTTCCATGTGTGTTGGTGTCCTGTTGCTGCTCCAATAAGTCATTGCAATTTCAGTGACATTAAAAAGAACAGGAAATTCAGGCTGGGAGATGGTGTCACAGATAAAAGCAACTATCACCAACCAGTGTTATGGGATATTAGTTAAAGATGTGTTACGTTCTTTTTTATGCTGTGGAATATTTGTTTAATGATACAAAGACAGGTTACATTCTTTTATGCTGCATTTGTTTAACTCTGTGAAGCTGTGTTACTTTGCCTGTCTAAAACACCTGATTGGTCTAACTAAACAGCCAATAGTAAGGCAGGAGAAAGGATAGGCAGGGCTGCCAGGCAGAGAGAATAAATAGAAGGAGAAAAAGAGGAGAGGAGAGAGAAGAGGAGGAGAGGAGGGTGTCAGGGGCCAGTCACACAGCCAGACATGGAATAAGAAGGAAAGAAAAGTTATACAGAAATAGAGAAAGGCAAAAGCCCAGAGACAAAAGGTAGATGGGATAACTTAAGAAAAGCTGGCTTAGAAACAAGCCAACCTAAGACTGGGCATTCATAGGTAAGAATATGTCTATGTGTATTTGTTTGGGAGCTGGGTGGAGCCCCAAAGAGTGAAGAGTAAAAAAAACCAACTACAAACCAGACAACCTAAGGTCAAGCCTACATGTTGGAAGAAGAGAACCTTCTACCACAAGTTGTCCTCTGACTCCTTCATAGTTACACGTGTGCACGTGTGCACGCACACACACAGTAAATAAAGCATGAAACACACACACACACACACACACACACACACACACACACACACACACAATGTGTTTATTATCTTACAGTTCTTGAGATTCAAAGTCGGTGATCAGTCCCACTGAGCTACATCAGGGGCTGCTTTCTTCTGGAGGCTGAAAGGAAGAACTCATAATAGGTTTCACGCTGTTTGAGGGGAGGCCCCTGTCCCATGGTCCTGGCACTCTACACCATGTCTTTCCTCTTCCCTGCCTTCTAGCCTGACCCTCCTGCCTCCCTCTTACAAGGATCCTTATGATTTCCAGGACTGTCCCCATTATAGGGTCCGTCACCACATCTCGTCTGGACCATCCCTCTTGTCATGTTTAGTCCCAGGGATTAGGATGTGGACAATTTAGAAAGATGGCGAGCATTATTCAACCTACACGATTATGGGGCGGGGATCTTTTTCTGGGTACAACTAAGGAATACTATTGAAAATATAGAGGTAAAAAAGACATCAGGTTATAGAAGTAATAAATACATAAGTATGCATATATGACTCCCAAAATGGTGTCCAAATTAGAGAGGGCTCACCTTTCAGTAGCTCCATTGATTTTCCTGACTAAGATGAAAATTTAGAATAAATGCACCAGCCGAGCGGTGGTGGTGCACGCCTTTAATCCCAGCACTCGGGAGGCAGAGCCAGGCGGATCTCTGTGAGTTCGAGGCCAGCCTGGACTACCAAGTGAGTCCCAGGAAAGGCGCAAAGCTACACAGAGAAACCCTGTCTCGAAAAAAAACAAAAAAAAAAAAAAAAAAAAAAAAAAAGAATAAATGCACCTTTCATAATTATGATGCTAATAAGTTTTTCAGTGATAAAATGTTTAAAACACTTGATTTGATTAGCAATTAATTAGTTTTATTTCAGGGACCCTGAGTTTCTACCCATCACTTTCATGCTCTAATACATGTCCTTCAGTTTGTGTGATATATGTAGAATCCTAATCCTTTCTCTCAGTCTGAAGAGGAATAGCCAGACAGAAGACAAGAGTACCATTTGAGCTCAGAACACTGGTGCTTTTGCCCTTACCTATGCAGGGTCCACAGGAAAGGTCCAAGGAGTGAGTGGGAATGATCACAAAACCTTCCAAGCAGAAGTACTGGAGACCTCTGTGAGCATCCGCAGCCCATTCTCAATGGAGCTCACGAAGCCCCACCCACAGCCACATAAATATTTTTATGATAGTGAGATTATCTGATTTCCCAAGAGACAGAAGTCTGTAGACTTATCAAGTTAAAATCTGGGGGACACAGTGACCACAGTAACCGTGAAAGTCTGTGAACTGAGGAATACACAGAATACATACATAGGAACACACACACACACACACACACACACACACACACACACACACACACACACACTCACACACACACACTTTCAGGGACTTGATTTTGAGTTGATAAAAAATATTCCAAAGTCCTTGAAAGTCCTCTGAACAAGTGAAATAACTCATACCTTTTGTTTAAAAAAAAAAGTTTGTTTTAAATCTCTTACTTAAAACATAGTGGAGTATTTGGGCTATTTTAGAAAGAATTTAATAGACATTAAGGAAAATGTTCCTCTTATGCTTGAAAGCACATGAACCTCAAGCATCTAGACAATGTGGCTCCCTACACCAGTTACTCTCCATTGTGGAAACAGGTATGCTTTTTTTTAAAAAAAAAGTTAAGTTTTCATTAGTTTGCATTCTAGTCATTGAGGATTTTAAATTCTGGAATATCTACAATTCTCACCTTTTCATAACACAGAAGGCAAAGGTCTGTGACAAGTCATAGCTCAAATCAGACTCAGACATACATGTCATCTGACTATCAAACATGTAAATAAAGTTCTCTCAACCTCTTCCCTGCGAGCAGGAGCTGCTGTCCGGAATATTTCTGTTCATTGTTCTTTGTGCATAAATACTTCAGGACTGGTTTCAGTGTGTGTAGCTGGAAACAGTAAAAAAAAGGAAAAAAAAAGGTTTGACGTTCCCTCAAACATATTTAAAATTCAGACCAGCTACCTCAGTTTGCCCAAGTTAATGAGAATTAATTCTTTTTCCCACATTAATTATATTTTAATTAAATCACCAGAAATGACTAAATAGCTCTAAAATGATTTGAGCAACATGAAAAGATTTTTAAAGGCACAATCACCATTTGTAAGTGCAATTCAAGACATGAGCCATATTTAAAAGCCTCCCTTTGTGAGATGTGAAGATCAAACACTATTTTTCGTGGAGAAATGTTACCTCAGATAGTAAAAGCCCAGCACAATGTACAAAGCCTTCATTGATACTTTCCAATTATCCTAATGTTCCTCCCATGAACTTACCTCAAAACATTTAGACAACAATGTTCACATTATGTAAACCACAACCACCATAAGCAACAGACATACTTACACAGACGCCACATCAAAGTCTAAACGTGTTTTGTGAGAAAACAGAGACCTGGAACGCTTGCCAAGCTACAGACAGAGACACAGCTCTTGGAAGGGGAATTCAGGTTAGGGTCGGCATCTAGCTTTTTCTAATGCGAAGCCGGTTCCTAGTTTTGCTACTTTATGCTCAGAAGAATTTGTGAACAGCAGCTGTATGTGGTTCACACACGGTTTAAGAAAATGAATTCAGTTCAGCCAAATAATTTATTCGACTAGTTATAGAATTGGATGGGCCCAACTGTTTATGACTACATAGGAATTAATTAATATTTTTGATTTACACAGGATTGGTTATTTCAGTTCTGGTTTGAAAACCAAAAGCTTGGGACTGGGGATATGTGTCAGTTGGTAGAATGTTTGCTAGCATTCACAAAGCCATGGGTTCAATCTCCATCATTTAAAAACAAAAATCATGGTGGTACATGCTTGTAATTCTAACATTTAGGAGGTGGAAGCAGGAAAGGCAGGAGTTCAGAGTCATCATCTGCTACAGAGTGAGTTCAAAACCAGTCTGAGATCCAGGAGACCTCGTACCCTCCACTTCCCATAAAAAAAAAAAAGGACATTGATGAAATGATATTATATCTGGGACTTCCTTCAAACAAATCTGGGAATGGAGATGGTTTATTATGAATGAATCCAGATGGGCTATAAAGGTGGTAGTTGCTGCAGCTGGGTGATGGCGCACAGAGGTCACTTAGAGTCTTTTCCTGACTGGCTATTGGATATTTTTCTCAATAAAAAGAAAAGGAGATTTTTTGTCTATGTCTGCTGCTCACAGCTGGAAGAAAACAGGACTAACTACTAGCTTTGCTGGATAACCTTAGGCCAACCGCCATGTGGCTGTGATTGGCCGTAGGTAATCCTGGGAAAAGTAAGAGATTTCTGTATAAGTGTCCCATGAGCTCTC